TCCGATCATGGATTACAAAAAAAACAAACATTTCGATCATGGATTACAAAAAATTCTATCATGGGTTACAAAAAAAAACAAAAAAACAAAAAATTCGATCATGGATTACAAGAAAAAAAAACAAATATTTCAATCATGGATTACAAAAAATTCGATCATGGATTACAAAAAATTCTATCATGGGTTACAAGAAAAAAAATTAAAAAAAATAAAAAAATAAAAATAAAAATAAAAAAATTATGTTTTTCCGTACAGGACTCGTCGATTCCGTACAATGAATCGGCGAGTCACTGTGCATAATCGTCCGGTTCTCTCTAGAACCTGACGATTCCCGTTTTTTTACCGATTCGATCTGTCCATGGTGATTCTCGAGTCGAACCGACGACTCAGCGTTTTTTTAAACACTGCTTTCATTGGAATGCCAAGTAAAACCACGTTGCGGAAACACCTTGGACCATTCTTCTATGGGCGGAGGGGCTTATGATATCGGGAAAATTACCAAAATGGCCCTCATGTTTTCACATCACAGGCCAAAAACTCCTAGGTGTTTTGCGAAAACCCAAAATTACCCCCATATTTTCCTTCATCACTTATGTGTCCTTGTACTTTTAACTACCATTGTTTTAAGAAAAATGTTTATATAAGTACGAGGCTCTAAACAATTAAATTAGAGCACACATCTAAACTTTCAATAGAAGATGTTTTGATGTTCAAATATTCTCAAATTGATCATATCAATATCATGATGCATGAATATGAGAAAAAAAAATAGATTTTCAGTTTTAAAAATGACGCATCTTGTAATACATTTTTGGACTTTCAATTTTCAAGATTTTCAAGTTTTCAGATATATGCTCGATCTACACTATTTTTAAGCATGAAATTTTATTATTAGAGATGAAATTATTATTTAAAGTTGTCATAAAGATTTCCCGTATTAAAACCACATTTGTCAAAATTTTATGATCAAACTACCCTCTTTAGTACATGTTCCCTCACATTTCTATCAATTCACCCCGCACGCTGCTCAAAGTAAAAATGAGATTCTGTCCAACACAAAATTTTCCCAAAAATGCGGATTGGCATTGACACATCAAAGCAAGGGCCAAATCGGAAGAACATGGCAAAAAATTCAGCCTGGCATAAAGGTGTGTTTATAGTGCAAATCGAGACAATCTACGAATGGAAATTGCTCAGATCTAAACCACAACTCGTCTTTTTTTTAAGAGTGATAGAGAGTGGGGACAATCAAATTCTGATCTAAGGCCAGATCTACTCATAAAATGAAAGGAAGTGCAAGAAAAGTAGAATATACCATACCGAGCTAATTGGCCCGGGACTCCTAAGGCTTCGAAGTATCACCCGTATTAGAAGCGACTGAGTTTATGTCGTGCGTCCTCTTTGTTTCTCTTCAGGTTTTGACCAGGCCTTGGCTTGGTTGGATGCCTTTCTTGGATTTGATCTAAGCTTTGGCTAGAGTTTGCTAGGGTTTTTTTAGGTTTTTTTTTCTTAAATCTAAGATTTCTCGCAAGTTTTATCTCGGGTCTCTGGAGTCTCTCTCTCTATCTCTCTCTCACTCAAGCTAACCATGTCTAAAGAGTCTAAAAGTCTCACCCCAAAAATGCTAATGAAATGATATTTTAAAGGCATTTATAGGCTGAAAAAGGCTGGAGTTGGTAATTGTCAATTTCAAATCGATTTCCCAACCTGAATTGTTGTTTTGGGGTCAATATACCAAAAGGGTCAAGATTCAATGAATTTGCCCAAAAATAGTCGGGGAGTGTATGCGAAAATTACCATTTTGGGGCAGTCAGGTTGGGCAGCACCAATGGTGTCGCTCAAATCAAATCTGTTCAGAAGTGGTAGATTCCAATTTTGGGGTGATTTATGCTCTTGTGATGCTACCTACCGAAATTTGGGTTAAACCGAGGTGTTTTACTATTTTTAATGATTTTTTTTTACTAAAACATGGTGTTCTGCAAGATTCTGGGTCAAGGCGGGCAGTATGGACCGGTGGTCTATGGTTTGGGAGTGTACAAGGATAGTATGGTCCTAAGGCTGTTTAGGGTTTAGAAAAACCATTGAATTTGTCAATTTTTTAAAATGAGGTGTCTACAAGGTATGCCAAATTTGTCACCATAACCTACAAGCTGGTCTAACCAATTTTATGTTGGACCACATTTTTTGCCATGTTATTCCTCTTCGGCACATTTATTGTCAGACCATAGCAAAAACAATGAAACAATGAGGTCAGACACACTTTAGTGGGCTTTTGAAATTTGAAGCCTGAAGATGGTCCGACACGCTTTTGTTTTAGACCGAAATAGTATTTAGCGTTCCGACACAAAAGTGTAACAGACCAGAGTCTAGTTTCAAATTCGATAAGCATCACTAGTAGTCTGACACACTTTTATGTTGGACCGCACTTTTCTATTTTAGGTTAGAGGGGAGAGAGAGAAACAGAGAGAAACTAATGAGCGAAGAGAGAGATAGAGAGATTAGATTTAACATGTAAAGGAGGATTGAAAAGGTAGTTTAATTTCTAATATATTAATTTTTGATAAGGTAAAAACAGAAAATCATAATAATTAGATTAGGGTGTGGTTTCTATAAGGTTGCAACTTTTTAACAATCCAATTGAGGCGCATAAACTCCAAAATAGTTAAAATCAAGTAGATCTATAAACATATGAAAATCTAAAAAATGGACGGTTTAGATAATGCGTTGCGAGATGCACTATTTCTAGGACTCAAAATCTTTTTTTTTTTTTCATATTCCTACATCTCGATGTAGAGATGATCAATTATAGTGTTTTTCAACATTAAAACAACATTTTCCGATGGATTTTTTAGGTGTATATGGAACTCTACATTTAAGGTTATAATTTTAAACTTTTTCCATTAGATCAGGGGGTGTGATAGAAAATATATGGACCCGGTTTCTATGCGGCCAAGCCCGCATATGTAGAAATGCAGGCCTATTAATAAATTTATTTTTGAGATGGATTTTAAGACTTACTTTTTAAGGGCATGTAATATCTAACATGGAGATCATGAATATGAAAAAATAAATAAATTTAAAAAACTATAAATAATAATTTTAGTAAAAAAACATTTGAATTGTTAGTTTCCGTTGTTTTTAGATGGAACACCTACTTGCATGGATGCTTTGCTCTTTCTTGACTGTATATGTAGACATACGGTCCAGTCTGCATGAAATAATTTTCCAAAGGAAAGCATTATACGACGCCTATTGGCGAAAATGAATAGTGATTTCGCCTACTCCCATCACCATCTAAAGTTCATCGTACGGTCACGATTGTTTAGTAGTGTTTCATTTTTCATTTTTTTTTCTATAAATCGAATGACCTGAAATTTGGAGAGTGTATTCATAAAAAATAGAGGAATCTTCGAAAAATATAAAAATATATTTTATATGAAAAAATTGACCAAAATACCTCGAAATATTTTTAGAGTATTTTGGTGAATTATTTTTTTGCATATAATATTTTTTATATTTTTATTAGATGCGCTTCAATAAGATGTATATGCTCTCTAAATTTTAGGTCATTCCGATTTATAAAAAATAAAATAAAATAAAATATTACTAAATAATCGTGACCGTACGATAAAATTTGGACAGCAATAAAAATAAATAAAATTACTATTTATTTTTACCTATAATGGTGGGAAGACTTCTCTTTTTCGAAAATATATCTCGATTTCCTAAAAGGGAATTGCATATTTATGGTACTTTTAGGAATTAATGGGCTGATATAGTAGTTGAGAGAAATTTTTTTTTTTTTTGCCAAATGAAAGTTGGCCAAAACCCCATTTAATAATTAGGTTTGGGCTCCGGAGACCTTTATTTTCTTAACACTTTTTTTTAAAAAAACCTGGAAATGAGTTGTCTTTTTTAAAAAAAACCTGGAAATGAGTTGTCTCAATCTCACTCTTTCTCTCTAACTCAAAAGCGGCTCTCTCTCTCTAAATCTTCAAAGGGGTTCCCCTCTCCTCTCTCTTGCTAAATCTTCAGAGGGTTCCTCTCTCTCTCTAAATTCAAAAGCTCTGATATCCCCCTTCTCTCTCTCCCAATGCAGAAAAGTCAACATCAAGAAATCCCATGGCAGCCCCTGAGTTGCTCTAGATCCAACTTCACGAAGATTTTTTGGCAAATCAAATTTATGGGTTTTTTGATTTTTGGAAAACCCATCTGTTAATTTTTCGTTACGTTGTTGTCATTTGCCCCATTTCACCTATCTGTCGATGTAAAAGTTTGAGCTTTGAGCATAGGGAGGTTCCAGGTTTTCGCTTTTGCCTCATTTTCAGCCCATTCTTTCTCTCGTTTTAAGATTTGCGCTGAGAAAATATGTGGGTGCTTGATATTTTAAGACATTAACCTCTCTCTTAATTTCCTTTCTCTTGTACTTATGCCCCATTTTGCATGCACATTTTCTCTCTCTCTTTCTCTGACTTTTGGTTGCAAGTTCCCTCCAAATCCCCAGCATTCCTTTCCGTTCTCCTCTTTTTTGAGGGGTTTCTTCCCTCTTCCCCTCTCTTATTCATGGGATTTTGATTGCTTTTGAACAAACCCAGTTCTTATTTTTGTCCATTTTTTGTTGTTTTTGCTCAATTTTTAGCTATTACCTCTTCCCCCTCTTTCTCATCAAAAATGGTTTTTTGGGAGGGGTATTTGAGTGATGAGGCAATGGGCACTTTTGCGCCCATAGTGGTTTACTGGTTGTATGCGGGAATGTATCAAATTTTGCCTCCTTTGGATCGCTATCGCATGCATACGAGGAAAGAGGAAGAACAAAAGAATTTGGTTCCCATTTCTTTGGTTATAAAGGGGGTTCTTCTTCAGCAGCTAGTTCAGGCCACTGTTGCTCAGGCACTTTTTTGGGTTAGTTTCAAAAACCCAACTTTAAATTCATTCTTGGGTTCTTCTAATTGGATGTATTCAACATATATTTTGGCTTGGGTTGATTTTTCCAGTAGCTATAGATTTGAACCTTTGTCATTGAATATTTGCCAATTCATATTAACAATATTATATGTGCCTACTATTCTTTGAGTTTATGTTTCATATGTCTTTTATATTGGTATTTCTTCGATACACACTTACTGTTAGAATCAAATTTTTGGTGGAACATCTGATTAAATTTGAAGAAAATCGCATTATGATAGAACCCTGGTTTAATTCAAGTAATGTTGGTTATGGTTTTGCTATGTGATACTACCATTTTCAATTTGGTGGAGTACAGCACTGCATCAAATACATAAGAGAAGCTTTACTTCCACATTTTCCCCGAATTGACATGGATGTTGAACTTTGTATATCAAATTGTAATCTGCACATTTAATCACATGATTTGCCAAGAGCCGGTTGAATTTTATATTGCATCTCCACTTCATTGGAGAAACTTGATGAGTAGTGGAATCTTAAGTTTGGTCGTATGTCTACATTTCAAAAGATTGATTAAATCTTACTTGTGCAATCAATATCAGTGATTGATTAGTTTGATCTATGTTATTTGTTTTTTAATGTCGCATGTAATCATCACGATTATTTGGGATAGTCATCAAAGAAAAATTGTGAAAATTTTTATTTTCAGTATTGTTTAGTATCGTACTCTGCATCACTTCATTCGAAAAGTTCTGCAATGTCCTAAAAAGCGCAAAATACAATTTCCTGTGGCTGGTTCTCATGGAATATATGCAATGAAATTTATATCTTAGAGCTCTCAGAGCAGTCTACTTTCCTACTTCACCAATTTTTGCTGAACCTGAGTATGTTTGCTGCCTCTCTCTCCCCCTCCATATATTGCTTTGAGATCACTTACATTTCTCAAGAGATTAGTTTAGGCCTTAAGCACAAAAGTGACTTTTGAACAACTACTGCGGTAGCCCATTTATCAGGTTAAAAAACTATTCCATTCTAGAAGTTTACTTTGGTTATGTGAACTTTTTCTATTGATATGGGCATGAAATGAAGACAACACATTCAAAAAAAGATATGGGCATGAATTGGGTTTGGTTTGGTAGAACTGTTTCAAGGTTTTATTTATGATACTCAGTGCGATTTCATTTAATGTGATGTTTGGAGAACTAGTGTTATTAGATGTGATAGTAGAAATGGATTTCATGAAAACCGTGAGAGAATCTGAAGAGCCAAAGGAGGACAAGAAGGGTCAACATGATATTTTTCATAAAAAATGGGTCATGTTGGTATTTCAATAAGCACTGCCACTTTGGGAATTTCTGCTCAAGATTGGGGTTATTTAATTTCAGATTTTTTAGTCAATTTGGAAACACTACAAGATAAAGTCATAGGCATCTGCTGGGAACATATTCAAGGGTTATTCAGTTTCAGATTTTGAGATCCATTGGCAGGCCACAACGAGGGGTTCATTACTCCAAAAAGAGATCCCAGTAGTGGGACTATCCTCCTGAGGGCAATTTTAAGCTGAAATTTGATGGAAGCTCGTGGAGCAACCGGGTCTACTTAACTTGGTGGCATGTTGATGGATCACCATTAAGGTGATTATGTCCTATATAGGGCCCCTCCTATATGTGATTCAAATGAGGCAAAGCAAGACTGATGCGGCTCAGAATACTGCTCTCGAGTATCTAGATGCTTTTATATCTTTTATTTATTTCTTGAGTATTTTTATCTACTTAGGGACATAAGTAGTAATTTCTAGAGTCTTTTATGTCTTTTTATTTGCTTAAAGTCTTTTATAATATATGGCCATGGTTAGATTAGATGGATGGCTAGGATTAAGTCTTGTTTAGTGTTTTCTTATATAAGAGATGTACCCAAGCGTAATGAAGCATCATGTTATAGACTTCTATTCAAAACCCTAGTGTGGCAAGTGCTCATTCTCACTTTGGTTTTTTAATCTTTCTCTAATTTTGGATCTTCCCTATCTTCTTCTTTGCTAAAACCCTAGCTCCAGCTACTACGTCTATGTCAGGTACCAACTTGGTATCAGAGCCCAACGATCAGCAAGGACAGTACTATAGCATGTACTATGGCACATTACTGTAGCATGGTACTGTATCACAGTATTGTAGCGTCAATTTTTGTGCCCTAGATCAACTACTGTGCCTCCACACAGAGGAAAAGGAGGAAAAAAGCGCAATCTTAAAAGCATTTGATGCTAGTTTGCAAGAAGGGATTGCAATCTAAGGAGATTGGTCGAAGCCCTAGCTCTGCGTTTGGCACAGATGGAAGCCCCATCTCAAGAGGATGAGATAGAGGAAGAGGAATCGGTGACCAAGTTGATGTCAAATGGCTCAATTCATGGTGTGATCCTAGTCAAGAGTTCGGTGCACAGTGTCATCGACCTAGGCACGAAATCGATGATGATTTGAGCAAGTCTTATGGAGCTCTATCTAAGGACAACTATGGAGAAAATTTGTTCTCACCACATGGTCCTTAAGATCAGCACGTTGTGGACGAGGACTCACCGCCAGCATTCTTCAAGTACCTGGATTAAGTTTTGGGTTTGAAAAAGAAGTGGGTGATCATAGATTTAATGGTGACCCAATCCGTAAAGAGGATCACAAAAAAGATCCTACCATTGGAGAGGATCTTGTGGATGCTCCTTTCCTTGATGAAGAATTGAGTGAGAGTGACAAACTTGCTCCTAAGAAAATGGGCATAACTAATTTCTTTGTCCTTGAAGGAATTAGTGAGAAAAATGATGGTGTTGACGGAGGCAATGATGATGATGTTGTTCTTCAAGTTTTTTTTTACCTGAATTAGGGGTGTCACATGATGTTCACACCAAAGAGCTCAAGGTATTTTCACCTGAACTCTTAGCAGGTGAGTTTAACATCGGATATGCTCACCCAAGGGTTTTTGAAATCATTCTCTTCGAGAAAATTCATGCTGAGTTGTCGCTCTGCTGTGATGGAAGAACCAAAATCTATACCTTATCATCTTCATCTGAAACCTAAACATAAGGAACCTAATATTTGCATCTCGACCTCACAAGGGCAAGCCTCAAAGTTCAAAGTTTTTCTTGCATCCTAAGAGAAGAGTTTTCCTCTAGTATGTTTATGATTGATAGTGTTCCACACTTGCATCGCAGCAGTGTTGGTTTTCAATTTTAACAAAACATGATGGATAAGATGCATATGAGAGGCACCATAACCTGGAAAACATTTATCTCTAGTTATTCTGTATTTAATTTTTAAGGTTGAGTTACAATGTTTCCAAGAGATGAAAATTTTGGGATTGGGCCTTCTCATTATACCCTTGCTGGTATTGTTACATCAAAATGGTGTAGTGGATGATTGGTGAGTATGAAAGAAATTAAGCAGGCCTATGCTAATGCTGTGAAACATGGGTTTGGCTGTAATCTTTGCACTAGCATTATACTGTCATCAATTCATTGCAAGATTGGCAATCTCCTTTTAGCACATTCAATGCTCAAGTTTACAACTCATAGAGGTGAGATTTCCTTCAAAGTTATTTTTTGAATGGATAACTTCGAGGACGTATGATTAGAAGTGATTCAAGGCTCTTCCCTTCTATGCTCATTCATGGTTCCACACCAAGTTGTTCTAAATATCATAATTTGAGCCAATGCAAGATTGGACCGTGTGAAGTGGTGCAGAAGATTAATGACAATGCCTACAATTTGAAACTTCCTAGTCATATTCGCACTTCTGATGTTTTAGTGTCAAGCATCTCATTCAATATCGTGGTGATACCTTCGACAACAAGCCGCCAAATTCAAGGGCGAATTCTTTTGAGGATGGGGGGATTAATCAGCCCAAAATATTGATCTTGAGTATCTAGATAAGAGAGGTAAGTCTAAAGTCTACAATAGTAACCTCATAAGGGCAAATTAGTCATTGAGTCTATCCTTTTATGTCATTTATTTATTTCTTGAATTTTTAATTTAGGGGCATAAGTAGTAATTTCTAGAGTCGTTTATGTCTTTTTATTCACTTAAAGTCTTCTATAAATAAATGGTCATGGTTAGATTAGATGGATGGCCATGATTAAGTCTTGTTTAGGGTTTTCTTATAAAAAAGATGTACTCAAGCATAATGATGCGCCATGTTGTGGACTTTTATTCAAAACCCTAGAGCAGCAAGTGCTCCTTCTTTTACCATTGGTTTTTTAATCTCCCTATTTTTGGATCTTCCCTATCTTTGTCTTTGCTAAAACTCTAGCTCAAGCTACAAGGTATGCGCCAAAGACCCTTTTTGTACGTCTCTGGTCTCTAGAGTCTATGTGGAAAAATGTTATTATTGAAAGGGATTCTGCTATCATCATTGTAAGTCTAAAGACTATGGAGGCTATACCATGTGTCTCTCTTTGCATAAACTTTTGAACCAACCAATGACTTAGACATCTTGCTTCTCCACTTGTGGTCAGAGGCAAATGTGGTAGCTGCTGCCCTTGCAAATCAGGGATTACAAAAATCTTCCCTTGAAGTAAAGTTATCTATCACCTTAAGATCAAAGATGCACACAACTTCATAAAATGGTAAAACTCCAATAAGTGGTTCTAGTGTTGATGGAAACAGCAGTGTTACTTTCTTTTCATCCTAGTAAAACAATTTGATGCAAAAATTTCATTGTGGAAATGGATGTTTATGGCGTAAGGCAATGAATCTCGTTGCCCTGTGCAGATTGTTATGGAATATACTCTAATTAAATCACCTACTGCTTGCTTTATTAGTGTGCAATGTGTGTGTCGTTTGATTACGGGATATATTAGGTTTATCAACCAATAAAACATATTACTTTTGTCCCATGTTATGACATAATTGGCGATGTATGGTCGATTTTAGTTATTTGGCTGGAAGATGACTGTATTTGTCTAATAAGGGTGAGGACCTTAAATTTTCCCCTAATCCGTCCCAAGCCCTGGTAAAGGAG